ATAAGTTAAATAAAATAAAACACATTTGATTCTTGAAGACAATTAATCTGCTGATAATATCACAAACATTAAGATAAAAGAGAATACAAATAAAATGATAAAAATTTAGATTTAGGTATACAAGTGTTAGCTATTAATATCTTTTGAAACTGACAAACAAATATTTACAAGATCAGATATTAATAGACATTGACCTTTGAAGAAATTTTTGAAGAAATTTGACGCTAATCCAGGTGCCACAAACCATAGACCGTAATTTTCCAATTATCTATGCCATATTTTACGGCTAAGTAAGGGATGCATTACCTTTATATTCGGGACTTCTCCTCATGATATCGGTGACTTGCTGCATATTATTTGACTACCAACGTGTTGTCGGGTCCAGTACCAGACCCTTAGCTCTCCGCTGATCTAAATAAATTATGTCAGCTCTACGATTTTGAGTAATGCCATTATCATATACTTTGCAGTGGACTTCTTCGAATACATCCTAGCCTTTTGTAGGAAATAAACTAGCTATGGACGTTCGAACATTGTGATGTGCTGTATTGCGTAACAGTTCCGTCTTGAAGCAAACAACCCAGTGACGTTATTCTCATTACAAGTACTGGACCTGCAATGATCTCCTGTTGCTCTATTAGCCATTGAATCCTTTGACAACTTTATCACAATTGTCTATTTGCTTCTAGTAAGCCCTCCTTTATTCGTTTGTGTGCAGTGCAGCATCTAAACCACTTGAGCCCCACACCTCTTTGACGAAGGCCTGACCATTTCCTGAACTCTTCCGCTCGTACTTCAGCTCTAATGTCTTTTGCGTTGCGACACCTAAAGAAAAAAATCACCCTCTCCGGCGACGGACTGACGACCTGATTCGGATAGCGAATTCTTCAAGAAACCATCTCATGATGGCAACGTTAGACCTCATGGCCCGTTTAGCTACATGATGTTCTAAATGAAAACTAGGGGTTTATCACCCATAGAGAAATTTGAAAACACCACAAAAATTGTTCTTATAGATACACAAAAAAAGAATAACATTAAATACACAGTATAAAAGTACCTAAAATAAAACCACTGTGTTTATGCGATAAAAGGTACCCAAATTAATAGGTATATAGAAATTTAAGCATGATAATTGGACGATCTTTGTGAAGAAAATGCCAAGTCCAAAACATAGAATTATCAGGATTCGATAAAAACGTTCTTTATTATCTCAACAACAGTTTGTTTTAACTTCTTCTACTCTTCAAAGAAATTAGAATACCAATTAAAGATCAGAAAACTTGCACTTTAACACTTTTTTTCACAAGAATTGACCAAATATTAACAAAAAAAAATAGACTGTAATAGTGACATTTGAAGTACAATAAAGACTAAAATTAATACATAATCTTTTATTTAATCAAATTACCAACTTGTCTATCACCACTTAATAATTAATAGGTTTAATTTATAATATATAGCATTATATTATTTGACTTATTGTGTCGTTAAAAATTTAATTTGATAAAATATAACATATTATCCGGAAATTTGGTAAAACGACAGACAATAATGTTATCTAAGTTCAATAATCCTAAGCTGACTGTCTAGATTATCCAATACATTCTATAATCATATTAATGGTGCAAAACCCATTTTCGCAAGTTACTGAACAAAACTTAAGCGGTCGACAGTTTAGACTATCCGGACTTAATTGAGTTAACTCTATACCAGACCCTCTAATATAAAGTGCATTATAATATTATTATTATGTTATAACGAAATTGCGTTTTTTAACGACCACTAATGGCTACTACTGTATACTTTTAATTTGGAAATGATCCGTGGTCGGTCGCTTTTTGTAGTTATTAATTTGTTGTGCATTTTTTTACCGACTTTTTAAAAGCTACGGTAGTGCAAGACAATTGAAGAGGAAACGGTAAATAATAGCCCGTTTAAAAGTTACTAATGAAGGTGAATTATTGATTTTTTTTATGGTTTTTTTTTTGTCACCGTTACCAAACCTATTCTACACCGAATCGAACGGTTACGCATTAATTATTATAATACCATCCGCGGCTATACTTTTATCGTTGAAAAGCGTTGATTAAAACAAATTACATAATGGCAAATATACCGAGCCAACAGGGTCTTATCGTCGTCACTTAAAATATTGCTTGTCACCGATACTAGATGGGCCAACCTGAAATTTTTCAGCGGCAGCTGTTTAATATTTTACTAACGTGACGGCACAAACGTTTCATTGGCTTTTTAGACGATTGGATTACATCAAACTGCTGTATGGCCAGCGTCTTGCATTACAGTGTTGATGACTGAGATGGTGCATATTAAAATTCTTTTAGCTTTTTTCTTGTAGTTTGTCGAATGGTGTCTATTCCGTCGCACAGGTATGAGTGGTTGACAAATAAAGTTTTTACAAAATAAAAATGCATCTTAAAAACATGTTTGCCGCGTAGTCAGAATATTAGCATAATAAAACAGGTAACCATCATTTCGAAGTTGGAAATTCGGAGTTCTTAGTATGAAACTAAGGGAAATAGTATTATTGGATTCTGTAATAAACTCTTAACATATTTTGCTATCCGTATCGGCAGAGTAACATACATTTCCAATTTTCAATTTAAATTAAAAGATACAAGTTACAAGGTACAGTATCTTGTGTCTTTTTTTAAAACACAAAATACTTTTTCAAAATACAAAATCAGTAATAATTAATTTACTAATTAATAATGTAAAATAATGTCAGTCTAATGGCCACAGCTGTCGCGGACTTTATTTAATAATAAAAAAAAAATTACTAATTAATAATAATAAATAATTAAATTTAATAACTAATAACCAATAGTTAATATAATTAATTTTTTTTTTGTTATAAAACATTTTTATATTTGACAAACTTACATTATATGTTATAGTATTACTTCGCATACTTGACACCAAGTAGCCTTATTCTTAAAAAAATATTTAAGTCTTAATATTTAATAAAAGTCAGTAATACAAATATAACCTCCAACAAAGTAATAGCAATAAACAATACAAACATTTCCCATGTTTAACAGTTTAAAAAAATAGTAAAATATGTACCAAGACTATCAAAATAATAATAATAATATATAAAAAAAAACCATTAACTAATCTTACAATAGTCAATAAACGTATTAATACTGTCAAAATGAAAAATAATAATTCTTTCTGGCATTATAAATTATAATACGTAATAATAAAAAAATATATAATAATACAGGGTGATTCTTTTATCATGAACCAGTCAATATCTCACTGGGTTTAATTAATAATTTAACTTTTTTTTCATATTGTTTTTATTCAATGTGATCTCAATTTTTAAAATTTGTTTTTGTTTTTACCCCTGGATTTAGGGGAGGGCTGAGTAGGGCACCCACAAATTTGGGTCCCCACAATTTTATGATATTCAAATTAGGATACAGAAAAAATATTTTATTTATATTTACACATATTTAATTAAATAAATATTGAACTTTATTTGGACATTTAAAAATGTAATTTTTACTAACTAATAATAGATGTTGCCAATGGTCATTGTAACCGAGGCTTTTGATCAATAAAAAAAAAAAAAAATAGATGTATTCGCGTTTATTGACAATGAACGGTATCTATGAATCTAGATAAGATAGGTGTTTATGCCGTCCGTGATCGGTGTGCACCGTCGATTGTAATATATTAGTAAATGTGTTTCTAAATATACACAGTGGGTCTGGAATTATTCGTCAAAATGTCGTAGTAAACACGATGGTCAACGACAATAATTCACCGTCAGAATTATGATATTAGTTTTAAAGCATATAAAAAATAGATTGCGTACTTCTATGGACGGAGACAGGCTCAATCAACTAGCGATAATGAGCTCTGAGTCCGATATTTTAAGAAAACTTGATTTTCAAAACGTTATTGATAATTTTGTACAAATAATATCAAGAAAAGTTCCAGGCATTTAATTTTAATAACTTGACATTATTATTTGTATTATTCTTTATTTAATTGCTTATACTTAGTATTATGATGATATTACTTATACTCGATTTGATTGTTTTTATAATTATTTATTATTTAATAAGTAAAAAAATATATTTCCTTGTTTATGTATAAGGAGTCCCCAAAATGCATTCCGCCCAGGGCCCACCACATACCTAAATCCACCCCTGCCCCCCTCCCGACTTAGACTTTTTGATAGCAACTTTTGAAACTTAAATGCGGTAACGTACATAAAATTGTATTACCTTTTTAAATAGAGAATAATGTATTACACATTTTGACTATATTAAATTACGTATTAGGCGACTGCATGAAGACTGATTTATTTAGTTCATGCGGTGGATGTTGGGACAATAAAAAAAAAATTAAAGCTCGTATGGCAAATGACCGATAACGGGCGGTCTTCGGCAAAGTCGGTATGACGACATACATGGTATTATGCCGGCCGCACTGAGTACACATTTGGTGAGTCCAAATATGGTAAGGCGAGCATGAGAGTGTACTCGGTTGTGCACTGTACTCATTGCCTGGATTCTCCTCGCGGTCCCGTGTCGGTTTTATTGGCGGGAGACAAAGGAAAATGTACAATGTATTTTGTATTTTGTATCTTAAAACTAAGATACAAAAAACAAGATACTAGTATCTTAGATACTGCCCATTCCTGGCTATTGGGAACTTAATTATTACATTGAGAGTGACACTATATGTTTTAACTTTTCACAATTGATTTGTGAAGTAAACGAATAAAACAATCATTTCATAAAGTGAAAGAGATAACAAACAACTTGTTTGTGTGTTAAGACTTTTTTTTCTAATGTAGCAGCCATCTTCTTAGTTCACAATATTTTATAATAATTAATCATAATATAAAGTTGTTTTCAGGTTAAGAAATTGTTATAGTAGTAAAATTATATTGTAGTGTATCAAGTTGTGCTAAATATTCAATAAACCGTGTTCTGTTATAATAATAATTATTTTTATTTTAGGCATTTCGGACCTAAGCTTGCTAAGTTTAATTACAACAGGGCGTTCGCATCGTAAGTACACATCAAATGTGACGAACCTATTTTTTATAATATATATAAGGTAATCTCCTCTCTAGGAGGAGGCAGTGATGGTCCTATACGACCGGATTAAAAGTTGTTTCCATATATAAGCTTAAATGACATTTTTTGGCGAACAAATAGTTTTATGTACGTATTAGTTAAAACACTCTTTATTAACGCTGTGTAATAAAATAGCACTCAAGAACAAAAGTTGTAATTGTTATTAAAACGTACTAGAGCTCAAGTACATAATATGTAGTCGTAATGGTAGGCTTCTTTGGTTTGATATCAATAATTATTGAAATTAACATGTTAGTATTAGGTCTACCTTAAGAAATGTGCGCAAACAGCTGTTTTTATCTACAACTGAGCTGTCTTTTCTTAGGATATTTTAAGGTCTGCCAATTTCGAGTAAAGCTATAACATATACGATTTTGTTTAAATCTGTACTCAAAAAAATATTTTATTAAAGAAAAACCAAAAAAGAAGAAAAATGGGAGTAACTTACAATTTGCCTGTAGATAATTTCTAGGTTGTAATGTGAGAGAGTGATCCAACATTCAGCGGGTAACTGAAAAATATTTTAATTTTTTTGGTAGGTTCATATAAAGTAATAAGGCTGACTGGAAGTCGGTAAGTAAATTATCTAGTAATGTATTGACTGATGTTTGGAAAAGATAGACAGAGCGTGGCGAGGCTTTATGCAAGTGGGAGTTAAAACGATAAAAGAAAAGCATAGGCAGACTGACAGAGGTAGACAACTGAGAATATTTAAATATAAATATTTTCGTTTCGATCGATGCAGAGCAGTAAAAAAATATGGTTTATGGTGTCAACAACTTAAGCGTATACAAGTAAATAATATTATGTTTATACATTTACACAAGGTAACTGAGTATTTCACTTTATGTTTTTTTTTCAGTTTAATAAAAAAGCAATTTAAACATTATATTTCACGGTAACTTTCATCGATCTCGCAATGTTTACTCGTTTCTGTGAATCTCGTATGGTTATTTTTATTGTGCCACAATAATAACTATAGTAATAGCAACGACAATTATTGTTCTGCTTGTACAAAAATAGTGCAACTATATTTTAGTGATATAATGTTGTTTCTTTAGTACCTTATGGACGGTCGAAAAAGTAAGCTTCGTACCTTACTTTCTGTATATCAAGAAGAAAATCTTAAAATCGTAGCAATCATTCCAATGTCGAATAATTTGAAGTCATTCGCCTGATTAATACTCAATCGTATTTTAATTGACAGTCCATATTATATGTTGACTCATATTTGGTGTTAGGAGTTGTCATCTTTTAAACTCTTATCAAACTACATACTTAAAACCACATAATACAAAAATAAGTTTTTATTTTATATTCTCTGTTTATTTTGACAAAATATTTGCCGTAACATAAATTAAACGTTCGGTCCACGTTTCGGTTTTTGATTTTTTGGGTGGTGTTGTGCTATGAATCAATCTAAATCTATTTTAATAATCATAACACTTCCTATAGTTTTTTTATTGCTCGTAATTATTTTCGTGCAATAAGCATGGAAACTTATCAAACCCATCGATAAACATTTTGTGTTTCTTCGATGTAGTGAAATTTTAAGACGGGTAGTTCGTAATTCGGACTGACCTTTAATTTTTTATCAAACTTTACATACAAAATAATCTATTTAACGTAAGACACTCATTTTCTCGGAAAATATGAATATTTGAAACATTTCTTATTTTCTATACCCTAAGGTACTATATTTACATGATGTTTGTCTTGTTATTCTTAATTATGAATATATATATATACATTTTTTTTCTTCTAATAGTTATGTAAGTCTGCATTTTTGATTACTTAAAAGTAAAAAAATTGTGTTAAAAAAAATATGAAGAAATTTAATGTTATTTTAACTATCTTATAAATAACCGTAAAGTTTATTTTATCCCTTTCTTTTCTCCCCTCTCTGATTTTTGAAATAGTCTTCTACTTCCTCCTAACCTGCGCCTAAACTAACCTTACCTATTTAATCTAAATCTAACCTAAACCTATCTGTCTCTTGCCATTGTTAGCTGTCCGATATCATTATTCTCTTATTCGGAGCTCTTATCCGATGTCTCTTGTACCTATTTTCTTGTATAATACTACTTCTAAGCGCTGCAGGCCATAGTGGTACTACTTGGTTCCAAAATAATTCATTTCTACTCATCCTGTCCTATATCTGTGCTTCTCCAGTTCCGTATACTCATCTGTTGTAGATTTTCATATCATCAATCCTTTATTAGCTGTTTCTTTCACTATCGAAAATATGACCCTCCCATCTAGCCCCCCATAATCCTTTGTTCATCTATAGCATCCTATACTGCGTGACGTGACGCTAATTATGAAATGACCCCAGCACAAAAACATATTCGTGTTAATATTTTTTTTTACAGAAAAAGAGTATCTTACATTAAATTGATTTTTATTTCGTTACTAAGAATTGTATGGCGCATAATTATATTTATTTGGTTGAGCAATTTTCTTTGTAAAGTTATGAGCACTTTCACTTACATATACAAATTTGGGTCATAAACGTAACAATTGCTTGCTTATATATGAGTAAAAAAAATATATAACTATTGGGACTACTGAGGCCCAAGTATAGTAAGGTTTTATGCTTCCGCCAAACTATAATTAGTTTGGTCACTTTATTCAAGAAACAACTAATCGGATTCTCATAAAACATTATTTCGTACAAAAAGCTTGGTATGTATTTTGTTCTGTATGAAAAGGTCTATTTTAATAGTTAACTTTTATTTAACATGCTGTTTTAAAAGCAAACAAGAGTTAGGAAAGGAAACTCAATTTTTTTTTTTGGTAGGTTTTTTATTTTGGTTATAAAATATATCCATTTCTTTGCTTAAGTAAAAAATGCTATTTTAATGAGTAATTTTAGAGGGTAAACATTAAAACTTTATTATTTTATATACCTATAATTAAAGACAGTAAGATGTATTAAAAATAATGACCGGTCGATTACCATTTCGAATAATTACTTTTTGAGGGATAGGCTGTAATATTAGTTTTATCCGCATGAAAAAAGTATTTCTTCAAAAGTAGTTATCGACCAGTCATTATTCTCTTATTAACCTAAACTATTAATATTCTTACCTTGAACAGTAAAAAATATTTTTAATCATTAAATTTATTTAATGATTTGAGTATAATTTTTTTAGCTTAAACAATTATGTTGTACAAACAATATCTGCTAAGTTAAATTTTTATCATCGTGTACATGAAAATTACAATGTTATTTTATGGAAGAATGTTACAAAAAATTAAATCGAATTTTAATAATAAAATAATATAAAGTAGCAAATTTGTCAGGCAACGAACAATTTCCTAAAATTTTCCTTGGTCTCCAAAGACTTTGGAAGTTGTTCTGGGCGGCCAATACTCGCTGACTAGTAACTCAAGTATTTTATGTAATGATCGATTAGTCTAACGGCTCTGAAATGTCAGAAAGACAGCTTCATCAATTCGATCATTATGCTTTAATATCGGTCGTTAAGTTCACCAACGTAATCTGCAAAAGACTTAGGTGATCGGCAATTTCAATGTTGTATAATGATGGTAATTCGAAAATTCGGATTTTCACAAAAAAAAAACCGCTATTTAACCCATTAAACAATCGTATAAATACTAAATACTATTACAATATTAAGCCGCGAACCAAGTTTGGTTGAAGAAATATAAAAAAAAACGCTCAACTTTGACAATAAATTACTTTTGGATTCCGGATTTTCGGTGTTATGTTTTACATTTACATCATAATCCAAAAAATTATACTCGAATAAATACTTATTTGTATACAATATTATAATATAACAGTACTGTATGCGTGGATTCCCATCACTGTTGGTTCAAATACAATATCGGAATATGCAAATGGTATCACGAGCACGGAATCTTCTTTGAACAATTTTACACAGTTGAATAGCGTTGCAATTGATCTTGCTTGAAATATATTTCGAGACCTTTTACTGTAAGTTCTATTTAGTTTGGAAACCTTAAACTTTGGAAATGTATTGGAAGTTATTTGAAAACTTATATGTTAGAGTTCCAACTCTGTACTTGGAAACCATACTCGTATTATTGAGTTTAGCGGCCTTGGACTCTACCTTTTCAATATTTAACTTCTAATCAAATGAGTATGGATATTCTCAAACGATTAAGTACAAAAAAACAGTAGTATAAATTCGTTACTTGGCTCTATCAAAAGGTTGATATGAATGTATGAATTTAGTATGACACGATTTAATTATTACATATTGTATTTAGTATATTCTGAAATAGAAATAATTGTTTTATTTAATTTATTAAACATATTATTATAAATGAACGAACATTTTTTTGGTTATAATCAGTATTTCATTTTTTATGTTTTCCAATATCCGATATATCAGTGTCCGTAAATCTTTTTTTTTTATTACGTTTCTATAAGCCAGCAAGAAAAGCTTTGTACGGCTTTGAAGATAGGTCAGCATTTTCATTTTGTCCGCTTGCACAGATTCATATTTCACTACCATAGGATACACACAAATGATTTACGGTTTAATTGTTTAATCAAAGTTATATTTAATAATATTTTTGATATAAGTGCAAACAGCTTATTTATTATTATTATTTATCGATCGAACATGCTTTATCGTGCCTTATTCTTTTCCTTAGTACATTGTGCATAAAGGTGGCCTAAGAACCCAAATTTAAGATATTTTTTTTCTCACGCCCTAAGAGTTGTTAGTCTCTGTAGTCTAAAAAAAAGAATAATAAATTAATTTTAAGCATCACAAGTAGTTTTAATATTTTCTCTTTATGTGGTAACAGGGCAAATGGGGTTCAAAACTATAAATTATTTTCCATTAGTGTAATATTGTTTTCAAAAGTATTATTTTATCTAAAAAAAATAATTATAATTTATTATGTGAAATTAAACAATAATCATTTATTTT